CCTATAATATCAGCATTTGAACACTATAATAAACACAAGAATTATCTGCGTGATGACACTGTTATTTTTATTATTGCGAAGTTTGCGTGCGCAAACACACAATGGAAAAGAGAAGTTGGTTTATCAAGTTAATCCATAGTCCAGTGATAGAAGGGAGTCAGTGATTTCAGCGACACAGTTTCAAATCCCGTGATTGTGGTGTTTTTTTTTGTTTGTTTTTTTCTAATAATAAAATAATATATAAAATGATTAATACAGATGTGTGTATTCTGCAGTTCACTGATTTATGTTACATTATTTTTTTTCTTTTAGATAAAGCATGTCCATTTTAAGGCCTGGACACACCAAGCCGACTTCAAAGAACTAGTGGCGATGAAAGCCGACGGTGTTGTCGCCTTGCGTCGGCAGCGTCGGACCAAAAAGTTGAGCTCGAACACACCGCACAGACTACAGCCGACGGCAAACTAGCACGTGCGTTCTGCGCATGCGTGAGAGGAATTAACTATCTATATCAGCAGCTATCAATAGTATATACTCGTCCTTCAAAAGGAGAAACTGAAACAAAGATATACGAGATAAACGCAGATATACAAAACGTACTCGTCCTTCAAAAGGAGAAACTGAAACAAAGATATACGAGATAAACGCAGATATACGAAACGTAAACAAAGCAGCACTTGCTTACCATTTAGAATTTCAGTAACGTTGATAACTTTAATCATTTTAAGCGGCTCGTGTTGTTATTAAAACATTCGCGTATTAGAATGATTGGGAAAGATCACGTAACATTTAAACAGCCTTCTGTCTGTAACGCCTTCATTTACATGCTTGTTTTCATCTCTTTCGCTTTATTCTCGGGCACTGACTCATTCGCTAAACTGAACGTCCAATCAGAGTTCTCTCTCTCGCCGACGTTCCCGACAGCCCCGACGCCGATTCAATATGTTGAATCGGGCAAACTGCCGCCGACGTGAGCCCGACGAGTGTAACACACCAAAAAAACTAGCCTGACCGTCGCTCGCCATCGGCTTAACGTTGGCCAACGGCCGACTGTCGGCTTGGTGTGTCCTGGCCTTATAGCTTGTGGGGGTTGAAATAAAGGTGTGGATCGCTTGCTCTTTCATATGGAGAGCAGGGGCGGACTGGGACAAAAATTCAGCCCTGGCACTGTAGCCACACCAGCCCACATTACCACACCGACACAGCCCCACCCACTACTTATATTTGTGTACAGATGGTGAAATAATATAAGCAGTACCATAAGTAATAGATATTTAAACATTTAATGTATGTGACAGGCAATAGAGCACTCGTTTATAACAAATGTATACATACAGTAAAAACAAAAGAAAAAAGAATCTGAGAATGTTGTAGAGTCTGTGTGCTGTCGGTTTATGCCGTTTGTCTGCTATTACTTACTGTCATTCTCTACAGTGTTGTTCTTTATCGTCACTGTCTGTATGTTGGATTCTCCTTGTTTCTCTCAGTTGACACTGTACACATTGTCTGTCTGATTCTACATCTTCTCATCCGTTTTAACTCTGTAACTCTGCAATTTTAATATGTTTGTATGGCTGTCTGTGATTATACTGTTCTTCACTCTTGCCTGACTGTCATTGTGTCCATGCTTCTTCTTGCTGGTCTCTGCTGTCACTGTGCTTCATTGTATTTTCAGCAGGCGTCGCAGCAATTCACTCTTCTCTGCCACTTTGTCAATGAGAACATCTGTATCTAGGGCCATAAGTATTTCCTTTTCAGTTGCCATCAAAATAAATGCCTCCAAGTGATCATTGGATATGGTGCTCCTGAGCCGATTTTTTATAAATTTGAGTGTGGAGAAGCTTCTCTCACAAGCAACCTGGGTGACAGACAGGGTGAGTAGGAGCTTGTACCCGAGGCCTATAACATGGTAAGCATCTGTTAACAAGTTGTATCGCTGTAAAAGCTGATAACAACATACGGCACAGTTCTTACATGTTGAACAACTTTTATTCATAATCTCTACCTGTTCTTCATCAGTTCCATCCATAGGTATCTCTCTCACAATCCTGGTTGTGTACTCCTCCACTGCAGACTTTTTCAGTTTCTCCCATTGACCAGCGAGACTAGTCAGCTCATACTGTAAAGTGACAACAGTGGCCCGGTTGTCAAACTTTAGTAAGCATCTGCTTAGTTCTGTGAGCGACGTCTTGGGCAATCCATTATCTCTGATCTCTGAGAATCTTCTAGGGTCCAGATAAGCAAGGTCTGCAAACAATGTGCCATGTGTCAGAAAGCGTTGATGGATGCTTTCAGTGACTGTATCCATGATGACATGGTGTACCTTAGTCTTGTAGGCCATTTCCACATCCCTTTCCACCTCATCCTGAGCCAACTCCCCTAGAGGACCTACAATAATGTACAGTATTTGAAAAATAATGTGTTTTTTGAACATTAAAGCATGTCAACATATTCTGTTACACCAAATACACAAAATAATGATCTTTAAAAAAGCATCATATGACCCTTTTAAGGTGCCCAACTATGTCCTCCAGATGCGTTGCAAATAATTTTCTAAGTAGCCAGGACAGCTAAGAAACTAAAATAACATTTTTGTTTCACACACTTGTCTCGCACACATACACAAATAGATTTCCTGTTATCTCTCAGCTCATAAAAAAAACTCAGTCTCTGAGTGCTTCAGTTTGCTTCAGTATGCTTGTCTACAGTGAGGCAAATAATATTAATGTTTCAGATAGAATTAAAATTTCCTCCACACTTGTTAAACTTCAACTGCCTTTTGTTCCAATTATTGGTCCAAAATAGCACTGTAAGCTAGAGACCTGCGCGGGACGGATTTTTCAGTCCCACTCCTGCAAGCTTCTGTCCCGCTCCTGTAAAAATATATGTTATTTTCTCCCGCTCCCACCCGCAATATTCAAGTTTTGTCCCACTCCCGCCCACAAAAGTCCGCAGGTAAACATATAGGCTAAGTAGATTTACTTTCACTGCTTCCTCCTGTCACGGTGCTTCTATGTGGAGTCGAGGAACGCGGAGACAAGGGAGAGTCATGAAGAACAGTCTTTATCCAAACAGGGGTAACACAGGGCAGGCAGGAACACACACAGAGCACATAGTATAGACGACACTGGACAAAGGAATCAAGGAACAGACAACACTTTAAATACTGAACTAAACAAGGGTAATTAACGGAACACACCTGAACCAAATGACTAATCAAAACGAGAGGGAAAAAAATAGGTCACTGAGCACATGGGGAGAAAAACACAACACAAACAGTCCATACTCCTGACATTACCTCCCCCTCCCGGAAGGCGCATCCTGCTGGATGTTCCAGATTAATTCCTCAGCCCAGTTCATACTTTGCTAGGTCCGGTGTTCTGTCACGTTGCTGCTGTGTTGGAACGAGGAGCAAGGAGCCCCATCGTGGAGACGACGGGGTGGGGAGAGCCAGGGAAGAGACAGGAGGGACTTGGAGCAGGCGGAGCCAGGTGGGACCCAGGCCACAGCCGTAAAGGTGACCCACGGTGGAGCTGACGGAGGGTGGAGGAAGGGCTGATGACTCCAGGGGGCCGACCGACGGCGGCGGAGCAGGTGGTGGAGGAACCTGAGGTGGAGACGGAGAGCCGATGAGCCAGGGTGACGAGGAGGATCCGGAGGACCACGGCGGAACAGATGGCTCAGGCGACCGATGCGGAGGCGGGGATCCGAAGGGCCGCAGTGGAGCCGGAGCAACAGAGGACCGAGGAGGAACCGAAGGGAAGGAGGAGCCTGACAGAGCCAGAGGGACGAGGCACAGCCGGAGGAATGGAGTCGCGAGGCAACAGATGGTTGATGACAGACCAAGGCGGAGCCGGAGGGACGAGGGTTACATCTTTGAATGGCTTCCAAAAAGTCACCAGGGTTTTAAGAATATTTTTGTTGATGCACTCTACTTTGTCATACTGTTTATTTTCCAACAGAATTGTTGCAATGTCACCATGCTGTTGAAACACGGAATCTAGCATTTCGAAATTAGTATTCCATTTTGTTTCCACTGACTGCTTTAGAGACTTACTTAACTTCACTTGCAGACCAGAATATTTGAAGTAGGTGACTAGTTTTTTCACGTCTTTCAGAAGGTGGCCAACTTCGGGGGTTTTGTCCATCACAGCGGACAAGAATGCATGTGAAAGAATGATGTTGCGTATGTGAGCGCTACAGTTCAGTCTCATGAAACCGCGTAGAGCTGCTATCATGTTCGCTCCTCTGTCAGTGACACAGACAAGTTTCATTGCCTGTGAACTATCTATTCCAAATACTCTTCAGATTTTGAAATAGTAAAGCTCGACTGTTTAAAATATTGTCTATATTTTCTTTCGGTTGTTTGATACATTTATTTAATTAATTTTTTTTCATTATGTTTAGTAATAAGACACAGACTCTGTTTATTTTTTTCATTCAGAATATTTTAGTAAATATCAGTACATGTTAACTAGTTGGAGTGCACACAATTTAGTTACCGTGGTGTGGGCTGATGAAGATTACCTTTATTCACTGTGAAACGTTAGATAATGTTTCTTTGCCATGTCGCTTGTAATGACAGATTTATCCAGATTATATTTTATTGCTTGATGCATTTTTTGTGAAGATGATCTACTTACTGTGATTGTTTTTTGTATGCCTGTGTAGACAAGATGATTGAATGAAACGCTTCCCACATGCAGTGCAGTGATACGGTTTCTCTCCAGTGTGGATCCTCTCATGTCTTTTTAGGTCTCCTGAATCACTGAATCTCTTGTTGCAGTGTGAACACATATACGGTTTCTCTCCAGTGTGGATCCTCTCATGTCTTTTTAGGTCTCCTGAATCACTGAATCTCTTGTTGCAGTGTGAACACATATACGGTTTCTCTCCAGTGTGAATCCTCTCATGTGTTTTCAGATGTGCTGACCGACTGAATCTCTTGTCACAGTGTGAACACTTGTACTGTTTCTCTCCAGTGTGAATGTTCATATGCCCCATAAGGTTTCCTTTTAGTGCAAAACTCTTCCCGCACTGATCACATATGTATGGTTTCTCTCCAGTGTGAATCCTCTCATGTGTTTTCAGATTTGCTGACTGACTGAATCTCTTGTCACAGCGTAAACACTTATAAGGTTTCTCTCCAGTGTGGATCCTCTCATGTGTTTTCAGGTCTCCTGACTTATTGAATATCTTGTTGCAGTGTGAACACCTATGAGGTTTTTCTCCAGTGTGAACCCTCTCATGCTGTTTTAAACAGGTCTCTGAAGTAAAAGTATTTTCACACTCAAAGCACATGTACTCTCTCACAGCAGTATGTATTTTCTGATGTTTTCAAATTTTGTAGAAATGAAAAACTCTGTCCACACAAATAACATGAATGTGGCTTCTCCTTTGTATGAACTCTCAGGTGTGTCCTCAGGTTTGAAGCCCTCAAAAACGTTTTGCCGCATTGATCACATGTGTGCAGTTTTTCTCCAGTGTGGATGTTCATGTGTATCTTAAGGCTTGATGATTGTGCAAAACTCTTCACGCATTGATCACAAGTGCACGTATTCTCTCCAGTATGAACTCTCATGTGAACATCAAGGTTATATTTGCTTGTCAAACTCTTTCCACACTGAGTGCAGGTTCTTCTTTTCTTTAAATCTTTCTGTTTGGTTTGAGAGCAACTCAAAGTTTTTTCTCCAGTTTTGGCATGATTTTTGTCCTCCACTGCACTCAATTCTTCGTTCTCCTCACTTTCTTCAATAAACTCTAAAATAAAAGAAAAGACAGTTAATTTGTCAG